AGTCCTTCGACCTTCATATTTTACTGTCCGCATCTTTGTTGTGTGTACGAGGTTTCACCTGATTTGTCGTGTGGTCTGAGAGTTCATATTCCTGAAATGTTTCCAGTAACTTTTTGACATTTCAGCGACTGAGGTTCATCCTCGTTGGTTTATTTTCTCCCAGATTTAAAGGAGCTTTTCAAATTTCTTTGAAGTAGTCTTCTTACACATGACTTACTCCCTTCTCGAAGTCTTTTAATCTTTCCACATGGTTGAACACTGTGAAATTATCATTGTTATTTTTATTATTGTATCAACTGGGGTTCTTCCTGGCTAAAAATGTGCCTTTTGATTGCGCATAAGCACAACTGGTCTCTTGGTCGTATATAAAAGCTGCATAATGATGAGACACAGAGTCTTTGTTACTTTATTCGACTGAAATCTCTGCATTTATTGGTATTTTTAGCCCTTTGAGAGACACAAAGGCATTTAATTTAAAATGTAATTAAAAAAGTAGTTTTTTTTTGTCACTGTCCGTTTTTAACTTTTGGTGGATGAAACATTTTATAAATAAGAGAAATCCTGATCGGCTCACGTAGCTGCCACTTGTGTGAGTTTATAGCTTTCCCCTGCAACCCATGTCTAAGATTCACAGCTGAATTATCTTTAATACTTTTGTCAGCAAACTAAATGTCTAAAAAATGTCCCCATAATTCTTGCCGATTATGAATTTTCTATTTTTTATTTATTTATTTTTTACTGGGAGTTTTCTGCCCTGTATTCTCAAACCACTCAATATACTCTACTTTCTTTTACCATCAGGTCTGATGACCTCTGTAACCTTCAGACTCTGGATGCTGACAGCAGGGTACCCACAGCACTCCCACAGACTGCTCTGTCACCCCATGAAAGCACTCCAGACACAACCACGCCGCATGGAAACGCGTTAGCATGTCCAGAAGATCCCAGAAGCACTCCAGACACAACCACACTACATGAAAACATGTCAGTATCTCCAGAAGATCCCAGAAGCACTCCAGACACAACCACACTACACGAAAACATGTCAGTATCTCCAGAAGATCCCAGAAGCACTCCAGACACAACCACACTACACGAAAACATGTCAGTATCTCCAGAAGATCCCAGAAGCACTCCAGAAGTAACCATACTGCACAAAAGCGCATCAAAATCTCCAGAATATCCCAGAAGCGCTTCAGACACAACCACACTACACGAAAACATGTCAACATCTCCAGATGATCCTAGAAGCACTCCAGAAGTAACCACGCCACATGAAAACACCTCAGCATGCTCAGAAGATCCCTATGAAACCACCACGGCACCCCACCAAGAACCTCCACAGGAGCCCATACGAACACCCCCGTTAACCACTGAAATCACAGCGCTGAATGCTCCCCGTACGCCGTCACCACCTCCCCTCCAGATCTCATCACCATTTCTAGGCACAATAATTTCCCCCGAGGAACCCCTGGTACCTCCTCAAACTGCCCTCAGCAGCTATAAGTTTTGCAACCGGTCACCTCCTGCAGCTTCTCCATATTCTCCTCACAGTCCCAGCCAACCACTGCCAACTGTTACTCAGAGTAATAATACCCAGGATTCCTCCAGATCGCCTCACAGAACTCTTCAGTCCGTCACAGCAGACGGTCAAACAGAGCTCTACAAATCGCCTCCTACCTCACCGCACACGGTTACCCACAATGCCTCTAAGTCCCCGTCAGTGTCTGCTACGCATCCTGCCAAAGCTCCTCCCACTCCTCCATTAAGCCCCTCCCAACCCGATCCATACCTGCTTACCTCAGTGACCTTTACGTCCAGTGTCTCCTCCCACCTGTACTCCCCCCTCTGCTCCTTCTCCCCCTCCTTCATGCGCTCTCTCGACTCTCTGGGACCTCCCATTAGCCTTCCTCCCATGATGCCAACGGCAACCCATCAACTGACCTCACCTCCTCCAGCTATGACCCCGCCCCCTCCAGAGTTAACCCCACCCCCAGCCCAGCTGCTGGGCTCTGATGATGAGGAGCAGGAGGACCCGTCTGATTACTGTAAAGGTGAGAATTTATCAGAGAAAGCTGCAAGAGTAAAGATCTGTCGTGGGTTTAAAATCAAATAAAAGCTCTGGTCTCTTCTCTTTCTGTGCGCTCCAGGTGGATACTACCCTGTGGATATTGGCGATCTGTTTAACGGGAGGTACCACGTGGTCAGGAAACTAGGCTGGGGACACTTTTCCACCGTCTGGCTCTGCTGGGATCTGCAGTACGGCACACATGATGTTTTGAAGACAGTTCGTTGGCTTTTTGCACGGTTTCTGTTGTCACATGATCTGAATGTGTGTCTGATTCAGGAAGAAGCGTTTTGTGGCGCTGAAAGTGGTGAAGAGCGCTCCTCATTACACTGAGACGGCTCTGGACGAGATCAAACTGCTGCGATGCGTGAGTGTTTGCTCTCTTATGCTTTCTCTAAACAACGGCAACAACGTGGGCTGTGGCTCAGGTAACCAGAGTGTCTGTCGGTCCCTCCAGGTGAGAGACAGCGACCCCTCTGACCCCTACAGAGAAACCATCGTCCAGCTCATTGATGACTTCAAGATCTCTGGAGTCAATGGAGTGCGTATCCTTTAAGCAAGTTTTCTAATTTCTTTTTTAAAAGATTTATTTTTCCATCTTTCAGAATGACGCTATACGCTAATTAGTGGTCAATATAAAAAATGACCCCCTTGTTTGTAATTTGAAAGTTCAGTCGCTGCTGTGGAGCTACCTCCAGCATTTCCCATGTAGCTTTTTCATACTGGAAAGCTGACCAGTCACTGTTGTTGTGATTCATTGAATCATTCAGCGGCTGTGCCACAGTCTGGCCCTGCAGTGGGACAGACATGAAGACCTGTGTTATCCTTTCATTGTCTGTGGATATACACCACAGTGTTTTGGATTGACACAATCCTGAGTCCTGTTACTGCAAATGTGAAAAGTCACAGGTCTTTCGTTGCACAGTTGTGAACAGGAATCCTTCCTCTTCGCCCTTAAGGTCGGCAGATTAAAGACATCGAGAAGAAGAAGAAGAAGAAGAAGCTGAGAATAAATTAAACTCTTTGCTGTACTTTCCTGATTATTATCAATTAAGAATTTTTATATTTGTTGAGGTATTTTAAGGTGGTGTTGTGTAAATCTACGCGGGCTGACGACATCATATCAAAGCAAATCTGCTGGTTCTGTTCTGGAGATTCACCAGCACACGAAGAACCGGTTAGCGAGCCGCTATACGAAGCTCAGCGAGGCTGCAGAGCAGGACAGATCCATCCGTGAAGGAGACTTGCTGGAGAGGAAGCTGATTATGTTTTTCCATTCGTTTTTACCAAGTAGACTTGGTACTTGTGTGGTACTGTTTAATAATTAATTTTAGAAAGAGTGGGCTGTTAGTTTCCTCAGCCGTTCTCAGATGTCTGTATGGTTCTGGAAGTTTTGGGCCACCAGCTCTTAAAGTGGATCATCAAGTCAAACTACATGGGACTTCCTCTGGCCTGTGTCAAGGCCATCATCAGACAGGTAGCGCATGCAAACAGATCTATACAGTATATATACAGTGACTTGGACTTGCTGACCCGCACGGACTCGGCTGTGCGCTTGCAGGTGCTGCAGGGTCTGGATTACCTCCACACCAAGTGTAAGATCATCCACACTGACATCAAACCAGAGAACATCCTGCTGGAGGTTGATGAGGTTTACGTCAGGAGATTGGCAGCTGAAGCTACTATCTGGCAGAGAGCTGGAGCCCCACCCCCTTCTGGATCATCAGGTGATCAGCTGCTATGTGATTGGTCGGAACTAGGAAGCGTTAGTGTCTCTTATTAAGTGTCAGGAACCTGCTAATGAAGCTTTTGTCAAGAGTTTTCCAATCAAAGTGAGAAATCGATCAGTGAGCTCAGTGATCAGTGAGAAACAGAAATGTTTAATGCTAAGACGTGTTACATACAGTTACTGGGAGCTGTGGTTTCCACTCCATCCAGAGAGACATCTACCTGCCTGTCTGTCTGCTTTCTGAGCTGTCTCCTTCTCCTTTCTTACACAGCTCTAACTGCACTGTTTCTCCTGTCTCTCTGTTTTCCTCCTTTTCTTCTTCCTGTTTCTGCCGTTTCCTCCCTGTTTGTCTGTCCCTGTGTGTCTCTCTCTCTAGTTAGCACGGCTCCCAGGGATCTAGAGGTAAGTGTCCAGATGTGATGCCTACTGTATTCAAGTGCAACCTCTAAACACCTAGGTCAGGGGTGGCCAACTCCAGGCCTCCAGAGCCGGTGTCCTGCAGGTTTTAGATGTGTCCTGGATCCAACACAGCTGATTCAAATGGCTAAATTACCTCCTCAACATTTCTTGAAGTTCTCCAGAGGCCTGGTAATGAACTAATCATTTGATGAAGGTGTGTTGACCCAGGGTGTTATCTAAAGCCTGCAGGACACCGGCTCTCAAGGCCTGGAGTTGGCCACCCCTGACCTAGGATATCTTTCCTTTATCTGGCTTCAAATACCCTAAAATCATCAATCAGGCTAAGCAGTCACGTGGAGATTATCGGCTTGATATGTTTAGTTAGAATCACCACAAACTCCAGTGGCAATTGTTTGGCAGTATGTAGTCGACTGAAAACATGGAAAGGTCTACTAGCATATTTGTATATGCAGGTATAGTGTAAAAAAGCACTGTATTGATGTGTGAGTGTAAAACAGTGTGAGTGGCCAGTAAAACTGGAAAGCCCTGGAACCAGTCCTGTTAAAACCAGAAAAAAAATCAGACTGTGTGAATTATTAGACTGATCGGTATCACCGTTCCAACACTGAGGCACAGCAAGATCATTTTTAAAATAATTATTCTTCAGCTCGTGTTGAAATGTGAGAGCAGGGGAGAGCAGGCATATACAAAAGTAATAAATGTAGAAGCTCCCTTATTCATGAGGTCGCCACAGCAGGTAGCTTCACACCAGGGACCTTTTGCATGTTACACTATGGAGCCACAAGTAGGTAAAAAGTTCACAATCAACCTGGTAATACGCTGGTGTGCAACTAAAAGGGTTTGCTGTTTTTATATGGAGCAAAATGGCTCTAAGATTACTTGCTGCCAGTGGGACAGAAATTTAGGCAGGAATTATGTTTTCACTTCTGCTGAGTACTGTATCTCTCACTGAAGCTAATCAGGAATGAAAAATTATTTGGGCCTCAAAAAACTGGAGAAACTCCTTCTGCGAGCATTATATGTGCTGCATACCTGCAAAGAAGGGGTGGGGAACTCCAGCCTCGAGGGCTGGTGTCCTGCAGGTTTTAGATCTCACCCTGGGTCAACACACCTGAATCAAATGATTAGTTCATTACCAGACATGTTGAGGAGGTAATTTAGCCATTTGAATCAGCTGTGTTGGATCAGGGATATATCTAAACCCTGCAGGACAGCGGCCTTCGGGGCCTGGAGTTCTCCCACTCCTGCTCTAAGGTATCTCAAACAGGATAAGTTATCCTGCTGCTGTTCTCTCATAAGAACTGCGTTTGTGACACTGAAAAGATGAGTTCAAACCTGAAGTTACCTCACTCAGCCTCAGATCCTGTCTTGTAGTACAGGTATCAGATACGTTATAGCTCTAGTAAACTACTGCAAGCTGATTGGCCGAAGGTCAAGAAAAGGAACTGTGTGCATGGGTGTGTGTTGTCAGTAACAACAGGCGTGTGTTTGAGCGTCTTGATTACAGAAACATAAAATTGTTACTGTTGTTGTTGAAGCCTCACTGTCCCGCTGCCTGTCTCGCCCTGTGTGCGCGCAGATCGGAAAACTTTCTAAAAACAAGAAGAAGAAGTTGAAAAGAAAAGCAAAGCGACAGCAGAAGTTGTTAGAGGAGAGACTGTTTGATATACAGGTACAGTAGCACTGCAGTAATAGTACTGTGAAACATGCTGCACCAGTCCTCCAGCAGTACTGCAGGGTTAACTCTTCTGTTTGTGTGTTCAGAGGATGGAGGAAGACGATGGTGTGCTGCAGGCTGAGGATGCAGACAGTATCGGTGAGTGTGACCGTTAGTAAAGGCCGAAGTAGAATTTGTTGTCTAACACAGTATAAATACGGTGTTTCTTTGTTCTTAGGCTCTCTGGTTGTCAATGGCAACACGTCCTGCTCTATAGCCAATAGCAAAACCAGCCCAGAGTCCAACTGCTCTTGGTTTGAGGATGGGTGTAACGGCCACGCCCCCGGACGGTTCTCAAGTCCCGCTTCTGGCCTATCAGGGTTCTCCAGCTCAGTGATGTCAGCAACGTCTGAATCGGCACTTTCTACTCAGTCCGGATACTCGAGTGGACGAGAAGGTTGGACACGCTCACACGTTTCAATTTAATACTTCGCCTTTAGTCATCGTTTGTAGTCTGTTTTTGTAGCAACTGAGAAATTTCTGGCCCATTCTCCCTAGAAAGACTTCCAGTTTTATATTTCACTACTATCTTTCTCACACTGCTCTAAGTTATTCTACAGATTTTAGGATAAAGAGCAGGTTCTGATCAGGGGACTGAGGACCAGCCCAGGGAGGCATCTACAATGATATGATGATGAAGCAAAGGAGTTG